CTCAAAGTTTCCGGGTGTGTCCTTTTTTTGACAAAAATTCAAAGTGGTAAATGAAATGTAGCTTTCAGAGTACATTGAAATATAGACCCTAGTCAGGTTAGATGCCATATTGAATTTAATATTAGGGATGGGCATTCCAAGCAAAAATAATATTTGAAAATCGTTGGGTATTATTCAATTATTATTTGAAAATCGCACCCCTCCCCCACTTGCACGCACAAACACCCATGAACAGGGAGAGGGACGGGATTCACGCTTTCAGTCTGTATGATAAACTGTTTAATTCAAAAGATAGGCTACCTTAACTCAAGCCATAATGATTGTAACGTGCTGAAACATATTAATATAATAAACATAACCGAATGACGGCACTTGTTATCATAACAGTCCATCGATTGGCATAAATCAACTGCTCATAAGGCTAGGACATTTCCATTTCAAAACAATTTTATCCCTAAAGGGAATAAATACGTGATAGGAGGAAAAATATACTTCAATATCTTCTGTCGCAATTATATCGTTGGGTAATTATACTGTATATAAACTGCGGGCATCAGGGAGCCATTATTAATATGCGGGGCATTGAAATCGCTTATGAACGCACGCTTGTTTTTTACTTTCACTTTCGAGATTCGCGATCACACGTACGGAGCAGCACTCGGCAGTACTTACTAGGGGTTGAACGACTTCTGATTTTTTTGAAGTCGACTTTTATGTGATGAAAGTCGAGTTGAAGTCGACTAGTCGCTGATGACGTCATTAATGAACAAATAAGTCTGGAGCTGTGATAAACACCTTGTGCACAGCTATGGCATATGACACAGCGCTGCCCACATGGCTGTTGCTCCTATAACAGCTTTTTTATCAGTTCTTTTGTCTTTGGGTCGTTATATTATATTATTTCTGCTCATTCTAAATCAGATACAGATAAAGTAGCACAGTAAAGATTACATTCATATGAATGCATTAGTGAGAGCGATTACCAGCACTCGGCAGTACTTACCACACATTTTACAAGATTAGATGTTTGTCAGTGGTGCTCAGGATCTGCAAATCATTCACCATCATCCTATCAGTCATCTCTCCTTACTCTGTTTATGTGGTAAGTGAAATGTTATGTACTGTAATGTACCAGGCTACCGCTAGCAAGCGGCTAACCATGACCCTTTAGTGGCTCCGTAGAACGTGTTATTTGTTTTCCGCGCCTTTTTGAATACGGATTCAGCCACACCTCTAACCCAATCGGGGGTGTTTGTGGTGCGCACAGAGCTCGTATTTGACATCGTCCCAAGTTACTGTAACAGTTATATGCTACGCAAGTCTTTTTTTTTATGCCACACAAGTCTACATTGTGCACGTGAGACAATGTGTTGTTCTGTTGTCTGAGACAGCTTTTTAGCGCCACCCTCTGCTTACGTGAACGCGTCACCACCGTATCAGCACGGAAAACATGGGGACATTTTTTAAGACAATAATCGCACAACCTATTCGATATTCTATAATTAAATCAACTAATCGACTATTGGAAAATCGTGACCCATCTCTATTTAATATATTGTATTAAAGGTCCTAGATCATGTAATTTTCACAACACACAACTTTCAAATTGTTTTATGGAGTTTTTGTCCACTGAAAGTTTTTATTTTTTATTTTTATTTTTTTCAGCTGATGAATCGGTATGGTGTTAAAGGCATAGTTCCGAGAGCTCTCTGACCCTCCATAGACGGCAAGGGTACTACCATGGTCAAGGCCCAGAAAGGTAGTAAGGACATCACTAAAATAGTCCATGTGACATCAGTGGTTCAACCTTAATTTTATGAAGCTACAAGAATACTTTTTGTGCCTTGAACATGGTAGTTGCATTACTGTCTATGCAGGGTCAGGAAGCTCTCAGATTTCATAAAAAATATCTTAATTTGTGTTGTGGAGATGAATAATGGTCTTGGGTTTGGAACGACATAAGGTGAGTAATTAATGACAGAATTTTCATTTTTGGGTGAACTATCCCTTTAAAAAAAGAAATGTACATCCATTGAATGCACAGTACGATTTAGAGAAAAAAAATTCCCAGCCTCATTTTCGTTTCTGTCAAAAATGTAATATGGCACTACCTTCTGCCATAATGTATTGCATTCCCATATGCTATGCTAAAATGTGGTGCTAAAATGACTTCTTAAAGGGCTAGTTCAACCAAAAATGAAAATTAGCCTGTGTTTTACTCGCCCTCAAAGCATCCTAGGTGTATGTGACTTTCTTAATTCAGATTAATCAAATCGGAGTTATATTAAAAATTGTCCTGGCCCCTCCAAGCCTTTCAATGGGGGTAAGCAGATGTTGGTTGTCAACAGTTCAGAAGACGTGAAATAAAGTGAGTGCATCCGTAATAAAACATCCCTCACACGGTTCCGGGGGGTGAATAAAGGCCTCCTGTAGCGAATCCGTGCATTTTTGTAAGATAAATATCCATATTTCAAGCATAATAAACACTTTTTTTTCTTACTTCCGCTGACTGTCATACGCGGAAGCCATTCCGGCGGATGATGTAAGACGTCGACGTTGCGTGATTAGTGATGAACGCGGAGACAAAACAAAACACCATTCACGAATTAGAAGCACAAAACGAAGATTTGTAAAGAGAAATGTCGGAGGATTTCGATATAAGCCAAGAGGACACTGGTTTTCCTTTGCTAAAGTAAGGAAACTTTGTTTCCTTTTCTCCTGCATTTCTCAGAGGCCAGCACTCGGCAGTACTTACCACACATTTTACAAGATTAGATGTTTGTCAGTGGTGCTCAGGATCTGCAAATCATTCACCATCATCCTATCAGTCATCTCTCCTTACTCTGTTTATGTGGTAAGTGAAATGTTATGTACTGTAATGTACCAGGCTACCGCTAGCAAGCGGCTAACCATGACCCTTTAGTGGCTCCGTAGAACGTGTTATTTGTTTTCCGCGCCTTTTTGAATACGGATTCAGCCACACCTCTAACCCAATCGGGGGTGTTTGTGGTGCGCACAGAGCTCGTATTTGACATCGTCCCAAGTTACTGTAACAGTTATATGCTACGCAAGTCTTTTTTTTTATGCCACACAAGTCTACATTGTGCACGTGAGACAATGTGTTGTTCTGTTGTCTGAGACAGCTTTTTAGCGCCACCCTCTGCTTACGTGAACGCGTCACCACCGTATCAGCACGGAAAACATGGGGACATTTTTTAAGACAATAATCGCACAACCTATTCGATATTCTATAATTAAATCAACTAATCGACTATTGGAAAATCGTGACCCATCTCTATTTAATATATTGTATTAAAGGTCCTAGATCATGTAATTTTCACAACACACAACTTTCAAATTGTTTTATGGAGTTTTTGTCCACTGAAAGTTTTTATTTTTTATTTTTATTTTTTTCAGCTGATGAATCGGTATGGTGTTAAAGGCATAGTTCCGAGAGCTCTCTGACCCTCCATAGACGGCAAGGGTACTACCATGGTCAAGGCCCAGAAAGGTAGTAAGGACATCACTAAAATAGTCCATGTGACATCAGTGGTTCAACCTTAATTTTATGAAGCTACAAGAATACTTTTTGTGCCTTGAACATGGTAGTTGCATTACTGTCTATGCAGGGTCAGGAAGCTCTCAGATTTCATAAAAAATATCTTAATTTGTGTTGTGGAGATGAATAATGGTCTTGGGTTTGGAACGACATAAGGTGAGTAATTAATGACAGAATTTTCATTTTTGGGTGAACTATCCCTTTAAAAAAAGAAATGTACATCCATTGAATGCACAGTACGATTTAGAGAAAAAAAATTCCCAGCCTCATTTTCGTTTAAATGTAAAATGTAATATGGCACTACCTTCTGCCATAATGTATTGCATTCCCATATGCTATGCTAAAACTAAAATGACAAATGACTTCTTAAAGGGCTAGTTCAACCAAAAATGAAAATTAGCCTGTGTTTTACTCGCCCTCAAAGCATCCTAGGTGTATGTGACTTTCTTAATTCAGATTAATCAAATGGGAGTTATATTAAAAATTGTCCTGGCCCCTCCAAGCCTTTCAATGGGGGTAAGCAGATGTTGGTTGTCAACAGTTCAGAAGACGTGAAATAAAGTGAGTGCATCCGTAATAAAACATCCCTCACACGGTTCCGGGGGGTGAATAAAGGCCTCCTGTAGCGAATCCGTGCATTTTTGTAAGATAAATATCCATATTTCAAGCATAATAAACACTTTTTTTTCTTACTTCCGCTGACTGTCATACGCGGAAGCCATTCCGGCGGATGATGTAAGACGTCGACGTTGCGTGATTAGTGATGAACGCGGAGACAAAACAAAACACCATTCACGAATTAGAAGCACAAAACGAAGATTTGTAAAGAGAAATGTCGGAGGATTTCGATATAAGCCAAGAGGACACTGGTTTTCCTTTGCTAAAGTAAGGAAACTTTGTTTCCTTTTCTCCTGCATTTCTCAGAGGCGCGTGCATGACGCATACGTCCTACGTCATCCGTCTGCATGTCTTCCACGTACCACAGTCAGTGGAAGTGAGAAAAGTGTTTATTACATTTGAAATATGGATATTTATCTTACAAAAATGCATGGATTCGCTACAGGAGGCCTTTATTCACTCCCTGGAGCTGTGTGAGGGACGTTTTATTGTGGATGCACGCACTTTATTTCAAGTCTTCTGAACTGTTGACAACCAACACCCACTTACCCCCATTGAAAGGCTTGGAGGGGCCAGGACAATTTTTAATATAACTCCCGATTGGGTTCGTCTGAAAGAAGAAAGTCACATACACCTAGGATGCTTTGAGCGCGAGTAAAACACAGGCTAATTTTCATTTTTGGGTGAACTAACCCTTTAAGTGGCCCTTTAGGAAATATTGGTTTGTTCATGATAGAAAAATAGCATATTCTTTCATTGCTTGCTTCATACTGGACTCAAACATCAATTTGACTGCATCTTTATATTATGTTTCTCTCTGCAGCAAATGAACTGAAACAGAGCTGGCCAGTGGACGCTCATATAACCCTCGACGACATGAACTGGGATTGTGGTTAGTGCTCTGTTCTCATGCAGTTTACTGGTTAAATTTCAGTCTGGGTTATAATTACAAAGCATCTCTTCTGTTTCAGACACTGAGTGTTATACGTACAGCTGCCGCTGTGGAGGAGAATTCATCTTAGAGAAGGATGACTTAAAAGAAATGGAAATGGTTGTGTGCTGCGATTCCTGTTCGCTTAGCATTGAAGTTAAGAAGGTTACATGACACTTTTGGATATGTTCAGCAAGATTCTTATTGGACTATTATTTAGCTCTTTTAAAATGGCACATATTCTATGGACACGGTTGATTTAACAGGAAGTCAACCCCATTCTTAACTAAATGTGGCACCAATGAGAAAGTATTTGTTAATTAAATATTTATTCATGAATTTAATAGACATTACTTTTTTAATGCTCTTTTAATGGTCTCCACATAGATGTTCAAATCAACTACACTGTAAAAACCTTCCCATTATCCATTTCTTTTCTTGTTTAAGAGCACAAAATTTTCACTCACATGTACCTTACAGCAAGTACATCACCAAATAACCGGAACTGGTTTCCAGAATTGGGTCACACTAGACTCTGAGTGTCTCAGAAAGCCCTTTGGTTGTTTCCTCTGAGCTAGACGTGCTCTTTTACGGACCAGGAAAAAAAAACTTTCTGTTTGTTCACCAGCCCCCTCCTTTCACTCCCCTGTGTTTGAGAGGACCAGGCGGCTCAGTAACCTCTTAGCTCTTGTCAACTTTGTTTGCATGTAAATAAATGCACTTTTTTTCCTCCTCCGACAATGAAGTCACAAACTGCCTCCACACATCGCTGGTCGAAAAAGGCCCTCCAGTTAATGATGAGCTTTTCTTTGCCTTATTGTTCTCCGGTCCACTAAATTTTGGGGGGATCCGCAAGGTTGCGGCACTGGAATAGGGTCATGGCTTTATTAAACTTCAAACAGTCATTAGGCTGTTTGCTAAAATCTGCCGTCCCACAGTAGAAACCGCTTGATCGGGGCAAAACCACGCTTTTCATTAATGTCCTGAGGCCTGAACCGAGGCTAGACCTGCCAGTGGACCGGCAATGGACCGAACTGTAATCGACTGTGACATCAATTATGGATAATCTCATCACTTTTGGAGAGTGGGCTTGTCAAAGCTCTAATTAAGTCCTCGGTTCCCCCTATATGTGCAGACAGGATCAACAACACATTATAGTGCAATGATAGACATCATCATTCTATTTTTGAGGGGATCTAATTTTTAACCTAGCGTACACTTGTGGGTCTGTGTTAATTTGAATGATTGTCCCTTTACGTCTGTGTGTATGACTAGATGATGCAAAACATTATAATAATACATAATAATTTGCATGGTAATGATATTTTATTTAATGTTTTTGTCACTTCAGTAAACTTTGTTTTTGGGTTTTTTTTATAACGCCGGTCAACTATTTCAGTGTTTCATAAAAATAGATCAGATTTTTTTGTGTATAGTTGTGGGTTGAGAAAAAACTGTTTTTTTATTTTTAAAATAATCTTTTCAATGTATATTCTACTGGCTAATGCAATGTTTTCTACCAAATTTTTTAACAATATTTAAAATATTAATTAAAATGTATTGCCATTACCTCATCAGGACAGTGTGTGCAGTAGGAGTATATAATTGTAATTTTGTGGGGGGAAATTACATCATAAGAAACTATTTAAGTGGAACCTCGGCTCTCTCTTTTTTTGGTGACGGTCACCTGAAACCTTTGTCAAAGTAAGCAAGACTTTCACTGATCCTGGTTCTTGTTCACAGGTAGTTTTTCATTTAATGCAGAGCCTTCACATTTTTTTGAATGAACTTTAATCACCTTTTGCCCTCATGGTTTCACATTTAATGCAGACATGATCTCAGTTGCACAGAAGAGGAAACCTCCCTCCATCTTTTCAATTCCTATTTCAGTTTAAACCTAATGGCTTCCCTGTTTTGGACAAGGTTCTACATGCCTCTCAGATCAAAAGTGTTCAGACAAATTTTCAGAGGGACCAGCAAGAGTTACCTTTTGGGAAACGAACCAGATGGCAGAGAACATAAGATGAAAATATCTCAGTCCATTAGCCTTTTAAGTATTCAGTTTTGTTGAAATGTAATAATAATAGTACATTTGTATTATTGTAGATCTGCATTTACACTTTTACAGGCATTTATGTTCCTGTTGATATGATGATTGATAAGTAAATCTGCCCCAAACACATGCTATTGATTTATGCAGAAATTAACATGTTTGTCCACCCAAACAAACTAGAGCAATGTTTTGAAATTGTAAGTGTTTAGACCCTTCAGAATTAGATTTCTGTTTAAAAATTACACTCTTCACCTTAAAGGTTGTATCATTTTCCTCTATTTTTGGTGGATGAGCTCTACTAAAGATGTTTGCGGGAAGCTGATGGCTCTATGCTTGTGTTGTGGTTGTCTGGTTTGTTTATGACTGGGGGTCTTTCAGAGAACCAGAGGTTTACTGCCTATCCCATCATCCTATCCATTCAATTGGCAATAATGCTAACAGTCCTCATGCAATGCTAGACCCCTGTGGGGTGGGTGGGTGTGTGTGTGTG